ACAGGCCTGGCCTTTCCAGTGCCAAACTGGTTAAACCACCACAATAAACCCCCCACATGTCAGACTCTTCTCCCAGGTAAGGAGAGACAGGATGAGACTCAAGTTGTGCTAGGGGAGGTTTATGTCAGATATTATGGCAAATTTCTTCACAGAAAAGGTTGTAAAGCACTGGCACAGACTGCCCAGGGCAGTGGTGGAGTCACAATTCCTGGAGGTGTTCAATAAACATATGGATGTAGCACTAGGGGATGTGGGTTAGTGGTGAACGTGGTGGTGGTGTTGGGTTGATGGCTGGACTTGATGATCTTAGAGGTCTTCTCTAACCTAAAATTCTATGAATTTATGAAATGGGAGTAAGGTGGCTTCATTTATAAGAACCAAACCAAGAGAATTCTCTAACTGCCAAATTAGAGTAAAGCAAGATTGCTGAAGCATTTAAAAATAAGACTCGCTTATTACTGGATCCCTACTTTAATGACTTGACCTTTGTTTGAAAAAAACAGTAGGCAGAAAACTTCTGAAGTGCAAGAGACTCCCAAACCAGAACACCCAGAAGAACGCTGCAGCAAACAACTGAGCAAGACCAAAGCAGTGTGTAAGGCTGTGGTGAGAAGTGGCAGCTGCCTGGTGGCACTGCTGTGGCACTGGTGGCACTGGTGGCACAGCCGTGCCCAGGGTACGTACTCGGGGTGCGGGCGGGCGGCAGACACGGCTGCCGAGCTGGTGCTGGGCTCCTCTGCTATGCCTCCTCCGTCCAGGAACATGGTGACAGCCATCTCCAGGTTGTTGTTGCAGGCTTCCAGCATGTGCTTCCCCACGCTTTCACTGGCACCTGCAATGCCAAAGGGAAATCTCAGCGTTTTGACTGGAAGCGCCCAGAACAGCTTTCTCTCTCAAAGCGTTAATAATTAGGAGGAACAGTTCATCAGCTGCCATTTATCCCTGAAGCACAACTGTGAGAGGAGACAAACTCCACAGCTCAGGGGGAAGGGAATGCTTGCAGTCAGGACTGCCAGGTTCCTTCCTGCCAGTAACTGAAAACCTAAAGGAAACCATCTGAGGGGTTTTAGCATGATCTGGATTTTCTCCTAGAGGTCAGACATTTTCCTGGTACATGGACCTATTGGAATGAGTCCAGAGGAGACCACAAAGGTGCTGGGAGGGCTGGGAGAGCTGGGGGTGTTCACCTGGAGAAGAGAAGGCTCCAGGGCGAGCTCAGAGCCCCTTCCAGTGCCTAAAGGGGCTCCAGGAGAGCTGGAGAGGGATTTGGGACAAGGGATGGAGGGACAGGCAAAGGGGAATGGCTGCACACTGATAGAGGGCAGGGTTAGATGGGATACTGGGGAGAAATCCTTCCCTGTGAGGGTGGGCAGGCCCTGGCACAGGGTGCCCAGAGAAGCTGCGGCCGCCCTGTCCCTGGAAGTGTCCAAGGACAGACTTGGAGCACCCTGGGACAGTGGAAGATGTCCCTGACCATCACAGCTGGTAGAACAAGATGAGTTTTTAAGGTCCCTTCCAAGACAAACCATTCCATGATTCTATGGATTTTTCAACACCAGCAGGCATACACAAAAGAAATGAAAACCTGACTTAACATTTTAACAGGAAGAATATTAAATCAGCTGCTAAATTTTTTTATCCACTTGTAACAGACATTTAGAGAGGAAAGAAAAGACACTCTGATTTACTGATTCTGCTGAAAGGCAAAATGAAACCAGCAGAAGCTCAGTTTATATAAGAGGGGAAAAAAGGGGGAGAAAGCAGTACTTTTCTACAGAGTTCTTTGTATAATGACTAACATTTATTCAAATCACAGACTCATGGAGCAGTTTGGGTTGGAAGTGAGCTTAAAGCTCACCCAGTTCTACACCCTGCCACGGGCAGGGACACCTTCCACTACCCCAGGTTGCTTCAGGCCCTCTCCAGACAGGCTTTGAATACCTAAAGTGCAACTAATCCCAGTTTTGATGTTGCTGCTCACAATGAAGCAACAGTTCCTAACATCACCTTTAAGTCTTTCCTCAGAGGATGAGCCTCTATGTCCCAACTTCTCCTCAAAAACCATCCCATCAGCAGAAGCTCCCTCAGGAGAAGAAGCTCTCCTGAAACCAAATTATTTACAGCACCTTCACCATAAGTGGTGGAGTACCAAAGAGCTTATTTTCCTTTAGAAAGGCTAGTAGAGAGGAAGAGTGGTAAAATGCAGCTGAACCAGTCTGGGAGCAGCTTTGGGATCTCCTGTAATTCTTACTAACACCAAAATGACAACAACACTTTGTCCAAAACCAGGCTCACAGAAAACATCAGTCTGGGCAAAACATATTCAGATGTTTCTCAGATTTTCTGGGAAAGACTCAAGAAGCTCTCGTTAGAACACAGAATATACTTTAAAATTGTGGAGATTAATCAGTTCTAAATAACCTGCACATCAAACCACAGAGAAAGCCAAACTGACTGAGGGAACTGGTTTTCCAAAACACCCAACCTGCCACAACAAGCACACTGGGATGACAGGCAGCTGTATCTTTAAGACCTTAACTGAGAGGAAGAAAGTGCAAAATAAAAACTAGTGACATTCCAAAAAACCAATGAGAAGTTCAGGTTCTTCACTCAAACTATTTTTTGACATTTTCAGCACTTTTCACTGCTAACTGTAGGAATGAAACAACACCTGTGAGCCTGGAAAACACACACACCCCACTGTACACCTCACTGTAGTGTCATGCAAGTCACTCATCTGCAAGAACTGGAAGAAAAATGATAATTCAACTCTCTGCTATTATTTAAAGAGACACTGACACAGCAAGTGCTTTCACTGATTCCTTATCATTCCTGAGAAAAGTGCTGGAAAACAGAAAATTCTAGATATTTGTTAAGTTTCAAAGCAAATTTCACAGATATCCCATTTCCTTGGGGAAAACTGATGCCTTGAGAGGCTACCTAGAACAGAGGCTAGACAGAGTTAAGGAATAAAGTAGGTATTTATTAAAAGGCCTTCAAAGGATACACCTTGGGCAGTGCAAGAGCCTGGCCGAGGCTACACCCAAGATGGACCCTGGGTCACGAGTTTTCACACTTTTGTAAGTTTTGGTCTATTTTCATATTGGGGTCAATTGTCCAATTACAGCTGCATGTTATGAAGTCCCATCCTCTCAGTCTGCTCTCAATTCACTGCTGGTTCATACTTTTAGTGCCTGAAGCTGCAATGGTGACCTTCGCTCTGGGGCTGGAAAAGGGTTGTTTTGTGTGGCTGAGCTGTGAGGAGAACTTGCTAACACTTTATATGACGTTCAGAGTTACACACTAATGCAGCACAGAATCTGGAAAACACAAAAGCTAAAACTTAAGGCAGCAAGACACACAGGAGTTACATTCTTTTAGCAGTACTTTCCTGGATGAGAGCACCAAAGAAACACAATTCTGCCACCAGGAGCAAAGAAAATCATCAAGGACTATTTCTCCTCATCCCTCATGCTGCAGAGTCCCCCAGCCTTTTCCCCACAGACAGACGTGACTGCATACACTTACAACTCTGAGCTGAAAAAGCTACTAATACAAAGCACTGAGGTGTGAGCACCTGTCACACCACAGCAGCATTGGTCAGACAAGCTCCACACACTCCTAGATGCAACCTTAAATTCTGATAAAGGTCAAAACAAACTTCAAAACTCCACTTAACAGTGGATGGCTGAAGCCCAGCAGGCTATTTCTTTTTTGGTTTTGAAAGCATAGAGGGGTTCTCTTATGCTGAGCATAAAACGTGTCTAAACATAAAAGGTGTCAGGAGGAGGAAACCTCTAGCACAGCTCTGCCTGCTCTGATTCGGGTTTTAGCAAACATCTCTCACACAGGCACATACTACTGAAAATATAATTGCTGTAAGTTCTTTTTGTTCAAGAGGTTTACTCCATAAAGATTCTTTAGGAATAGCTGAGAGATCAATAATTTCCCTGCTTACATCCTGTCGAGGATTTGAGTGTGTGCAAGAACAGGGACACAATCTGAAACGGAGCTGGTCTGGATAACCGAATTAGAGCAGTTTCACTTCCCTTTGGCTGTTTAGTTGACACATCTTATTAACCACTCCTGCAGCATCTGACATGCAAAGCCATCAGCCAGGGGTAACTGCGGCGAAGCAGATTAAACACGAAGTGGGTCAAGAGCTCCAAGTACACAACCCGAAGCAGGAGCTGTCGCCTGACGCGAACTTCCACGGAAAAGCGACCAGCTCTCCCCGTCTGCGAGTCAAGTCGTCCGCGCTACAGGATATTTCTGCTTTTTCAAAGGCGGACTCGGGGCTCAGCGCCCGGATCCCTCCCGGCCGTCAGAGCCAGCCACGGGAGCGGGAAGCGGGCGGCAGGGAAGGAGCAGGACACGGACCCGCGAGAGGAACCGCCGAGCCGCGGCTCAAAGGGAAGCGAGCTCTCCGCCGCGCAGGGAGCGGGGCTGGGCTGAGGCAGCCCCGCCGCGTTGGGCGGCCCCGAGCCGAGCCCGCGGACCGGCCCTGGCACCGCCGGCGCCCCGCGGGAGGCGCTCCGGGGGCAGGGGCAGCGCGCCCGGAACCGCTCCGCCTCGGCCCGCGCCTCCCGCCCCCGGCCCGCCGGCGGGGGTAGGCCGGGCGGGACCCACCCGCGTAAGCCCCGCGGCCTCGGCGCGCCGCGCGCCCCGAACGCACCGGTGATGGCGGTGAACTGCTGGACCAGCGCCCTCAGCGCCGCGGCGCCCGCCGAGCCCCCGGGCGCCGCCATCTTGCCGCCGCCGCACCACAACACACGCGCCGCCGGCCGGCGTGCGCTGCGCATGCGCGGGACCTGCCAGCGCGCGCGCCCCTGCCCCCGCCCGCCACCGCGAGGGGCGGGGTTCGGTTGCCGGGGTAACAGACCCCGCCCATCCGGCCGCGCGGGAGGCGGGAGTTGCCGTGGTAACGCTCCCCCCGCCCGGCCCCGCCCCGCCCCGCCGCCTCAGCGGCGCTCCCTGGGATCACCCCGGAATTCCCGACCGCCGCCCCCGAGGGACGCGGGCCTTAGAAGTGCACCGGCGCTCTCAGGGCACGCACCCGCGGCTCCCACGCGGATTTACCCCTCCGAGTGCGGAGCAGATCCAGGGGAGACACCGGGAACAGCCCGGATCACCGGCACAGGCCGGGCATGACCTGCTGGATAGCGGCGCTGCTGGGAAGGACCTGTGCGATCTGACAGGCAACCGGCTGTTCCAGAGCCGGCAGTGTGTCCTGGAGGCCAGAAGGGCCCGTGGGACCCTGAGGGACAATGAGAAGAGCACTGACAGCAGGTCAGGGAGTGATCCTGTGCCTCTGCCAGCCCTGCGAGTGCTGTGCCCAGCTCTGGGCCCCTCAAGAGAGGAGATATGTGGAGCTGCTGGAGCAGGTCTAGGGGAAGCTGTGGAGATGCTGAAGGGCCTGGAGCATCTCCCTGATGAGGAAAGGCTGAGGGAGCTGGGGCTGCTCAGCCTGGAGAGGAGCCCCAGCTGAGAGGGGCCTCAGCCCTGCCTGTCCCTGCCTGTCCCTGCCTGTCCCTGGGTGCAGGCAGGGTCAGAGCAAGGCCCGGGCTCTGCTCCGGGGGCCCAGCGATGGCACCAGAGCCACGGGCAGGGACTGAGCCCAGCAAGTTCCACCTGGACATGAGGAAGAACTTTCCTGGGTGGTGATGGAGCCCTGAACAGACCCAGAGAGGGTGTGGAGCCTCCCTCACTGGAGATATCCCAGAGCTGTCTGGACACAGTGTGTGCCATGGGCTCTGGGATAGCCCTGCTGGAGCAGATGGATCCACTGAGGTCCCTTCCAGCCTGACCCATTCTGGGATTCTGTAGGACAGGACCTGAGGTGATCAAGGAATAGCTCACCTGCACTGGTCCAGGGAGCCCTGACATCACTGTCACAAAGCCAGAAGAGGAAACCCTTGGATTTGTCCCCACTTGCCATACCAGGTGTTTCTGATCCCCAGGCCACCTGAAGAAATACCAGGAAAGGAATGTTTTACTCCTTTCAGTTTCCTGACACAGCAGGAATGTGTCTGCCTTGCTGCTGAACACCTTGCCAGTAACACTTGTCAGCTCTGAGTACCACAGAAAGCTGAGATTTCCCTAGAATTCTAATAATTTATTACCTCACTGCCATGGAAACAGGTACATCTGTTCCCTCTCTTACTGCCCCTCATCCCCACACCAGCTCTGGTGCCCCGAAAAGCAACCAAATCTGTAAAGTATCTGAGGTTTTGGCACTTGTTTTTCCTGGAAGTTGGATGAGCTGAACTTGTTCACAAACAAGACAAATTAATCATCAGGGCTGAAGGCAGGTGAGCAGCAGTGAACTGTTACACCAGCCCAGACCTCTCAAATACAGACTCCTGCTTCACCAACAGCAGTAAAACAAAGCTGATTTCACCTGCTTCAAAGCTCCCAGACTACAGGGTCAGAAACAAGCTGCTGGTACAACCAAAATCCATTCAGCAGTGGCCAAATTCCACCCTCTAACAATAAAGACCTAAAAGAATAAGCCAAAGTATGCCTAGTGAAGATTATTGTACCACGGATATGGTGAGGAATGGGATCATTTGGGGACTTGCAGCATCCCACCTTGGATAAGGCTGCTGCTATAGGTGACAGGTTTTGTAGATTTTGCAGTTAAGTTTGGTGTTATCTATCAATCAGTTTTCAGTCCTGTTTATTTTTTTTTTTGCATTCTGCTTTCAAAATGTTTTGTTTTTTTTTTTTTACAGGCTTACCCTGACTGGAAAGGCTGAGGGTCACCAGCATGGAAACTGTCAGCAGCTCTCTGCCTTAAAAAAAACTTTTTAAATATTTTTTTTTTAACATCGTGAGTAAAACAGAAAAGAATCCCAACTGTGTTAAGGATTATGCAAAAACAGACCCATATTGAAGGAAAGCCTCCAGAACAATGGCTGAGGCAGCAGGAGAAAAAGCAAAGGATTTGCCACTGGTCACCTGTTGTAACTTCCTCAAAAAACATCTCTGAACAGAACATTTATTTATTTATTTATGAGAAGCCCACCAATGATAAAGAGGTGCAGGCTTTGGGGGGAAAAAACCCAACAATTCATATTTTTGGCTCAGTGTGCTGGTCATGCTTTCCATAAAATTTGTTTTTTTTAAAACTTAAACCATCGAAAGATACTGCTGAAGAAACTAGTCTGTTAGGAATGCCCTATAACAGAATTAAAGTGTTCAATGGGGTTCAAAAAAAGGACAAAATTCAACCATTTGCTGACTTTGTTGACTAGCACACACCCTTCAGCACTGCAGCTGGCACTTGGCTCCATTTCAAACACAGACAGTGCAAAAGTAGCTCCAAAGAAGCAAAGAAAAGCTAAAATATTGCTTCAGAAAACAACAGATTAAACAATTAGCAAGAAAACTTCCTCTGGTTGCCTCTTCCTCAGCCTCAACTTCCTACAGGCCTCAGCACCTCCACATCTAAATTACAGTTTCTTTTGAGTTATTTTAGTTTTAAACCCAACAGGAACAGTATTTAGTAGTGCCTCTAAAAATGGAGGAAAACAGTTACAGCCAGGCAGGGCAGTTATATGAATCTCTTAATTACTATCATGTTATTACTGACAACTCCAGTCTTCAGTTGCGTCTTTTACCTTTCTCCACCATAACTGGCTTCTGGACTGTTGTTTTAATCACATTCAAACCAGTTTGAGTATGAAAATTAAAGAGCATTATGTATAGTAACACCATTGTACATTAACATGTACAATTAACAGGACATCAACAACAAGAAAACAAAAGTATCTTTTTCTTAACAACAGGGAAAATGGGATATGCAGGAGGGATCTCTGTGAACAGAGGTGAATGGGAGCCCACAGCCTTGGCATCCATGAAGATCCTTGGCTTTGGCAGTGGAGAATGACCTGTTTCTTTCCTCTTTGTCCGAGGGAGGGGTTAGCATATGAGAGGGAAAGAGTGACTGTCTGCTTACACTCCTGTTAATGGGTGTGCCAACAATGCAATTCCAGCAACAGCCTAAATTCCAGCAACGTGCTTTGATTTACAGAACAGTGGCTGTGCTGAGGGAAGCTTCAACCTTGCAGCTGACAGCCAGCTGGGAATACAGGCTCGTTTTTCATTTGTTTCCTCCATGGAATGTGCATCTTTTCCATTAAAGGTTTCAAATCAGACCATCAGTTATCCTTGTTTTTCAACACTACCAGTATTCACACTCCAAACCATGTAAATGCAAGTTAGAAAATAAGAAATGCTCTGATTCCTGCAAGAAGTGCTGCAAGTGCTAGAAAATAATAATCAAGAAAAGAACAATTTTAAAATGTTACATTCTGGGGGTATATGTTACTAGAACATCTCAGAACTCACAGCACTGCTGCCCAGAGTGGTTCCCTTCCAAAGCAACCACTCAAAACTGCTTAGGGAAGCTTTGCCTAGCACAGAAGAACATCACCACAGTTCCCATTCCTATTCCACCACATGTCCATGGCTCTGATCTACTCTGCAACAGGGCTTTTAAACATCTGCAGGATTGTCTTTTGCTTGTTCTTAGGCAGTGAACAAATATCATTTGTGTCACTGGTATTAACCACACAATTCAAAACCTTTCCTTCCTTGATGCTGGGGGATTTCACCCGGACCCTGGCAGGGGACTGCCAGTTTTCATTGCAGGAACCTTTCCGAGACTTGTGGTGATTGGTTTCAGCCTGTGTCTTTGATCCCTTTGAGTCTTTTGCCTTGGAGTTTCCCTTCCTGGCAGAAGAGTCTTTCCCAGAGCGGGGTGGTTTGGTGCGGAGCAGATACTCGTCTGGAGAACCCTTCTGTCGGTTCAGTGTCCTTTCCTCCTTGTCCAGCTCCTTCTGCAGCTGCAGAGCCAAGAGCCTGTCCTGCTCCTCCTGCCTACGCCTTTCATAGAACTCCTGCTCAAAGGCTCTTTGTGTCTGCAAGTTAAAATCATTCATCTGCTCTCCTTGCTCTTCTACACTTTCTGAAAAGGTTCTTCTCCTCTTATCAAGCATGTCCAAGTCAATCATGGCACCAGCTGGGGCCTCCACTAGCTTCCTTTTGGGAGTCTCCTTAGAGTTCTGTGGCCTCTCTGGCATCTCTTCATTTGAGTGTCCAGCCTCCTTCCCCAGACCACCTAACGTGGTCTGGCTGTCAGACATCACACAATTTATACCAGAGGTAGAAGTTTCATCAGACTTTTCAAGGTTTACCCTTTGGACATGTGTCAAATTGCCACTGTCTGACTCAATTCCATCATCATCTCCTTTGGATCTAAGAAGAACTGTCCTAGACCCTTCCCCTTCTGTGGTTCCATGAAGTGCATCTGGAATTCCATCTCCTAAACCATTTGGTCCTGGTGTTTTTTCCTGCTTGACAGTAGTGACAGTTTCACCTGAAGCTGAGGCACTGAAATAGTTCAGGCATGATTCCAAAAATGAATCCTTAGCTCCAGAATCTTTGTTTACACTGGTCAGCTGTGGAGACAGGGTTGGCATTTCCTCTTGCTCATCCTGCACTGCAGAACTGCTGCCTTCATTGCTGTTGGTCTCCTGAAGAAAAGGAAGACACCATTAATGAAGTAAATTTATCAAAAGCCCATGGGTGTGAATAAATACCAAACTCACTTCTCATGGCTGCATTGCCCTTGAGTGATCTTCTCTTTTTAAAAAATACCTGTTTAATAATAATGAAAATATTTCAAATAACTGCAGAAGCCCAGCTAAAGGACTGAAACCACAACTGCAGCATTTTCCTCTTATCAGTGATTCAGACTAAATGCTCATCTTCTTTGAAGGCCTTACAGGAATGGTCAGACAGGCAGCCATGGAATGCTGTAAATCAAGGTGCACCCTCTTCCAGTAGGCTTCAGTACCGCAAACCATGAATACCAAAGGTAGCTTAAGAAGGGCAATATAACCTGCCCAGTGCCAATATGCAAGGGGAATAGAAGACTAGAACTGTACAGGCAAGGGGAAAACATCCCATAATTACTAACTGAGAGATTTATAACAAACTGATTCCTGTTACCCCAGAGATAGAGTTGCTCCTGCCTCTTCCTGTGGCACTGCAGAACGATGCTGATCCCAACATACCATAATTTTTTGGAGACAGATACCTTTAAAAGAAAAGAAGGATGCCCCTTTAAATATTTTGTCCTTAAATTGTCAGTCCTTTGCATTATTCAAGATCTTCAGGTTCATTCTGACACACAAAAAACAACAAGAAGGCAAGTGTTTGGCTTCTCCTCCTATGAGGACATGTTTTAAACTTCAACACTTCACGTTTGTCCCCAGTTATCTCGGGAAGCTGGCCTACAGCATTCCAAAGAAGCAAATGGGGCTGAGGGACACTGAACAGGCCAAAAATTAAAGAAATACTTGGCTAAATCCCTTACTTCTGAATGTCTCCAGAGTTGCTTGGTTTGCTCTTTGCCTTGCTCAGGTTCAGTGGGGATGTCTGACGGGAGAGGCTGTGTGCTGGTGATGGGCTGCCAGGCACGTGTTCCTCGGGATCCTCATTCTTCCAGACAATGAAAAACAACATTAGGTAAAACAAAACACAACAAAAACTGCAGAAACCTCAGGGAACTGCTTGGGTTTTGCTGCAGAATTAGTTATTGTTGTCCAAAGAATTCCAGAACTGTAAGTAACGGATGGTTAAGAGAAAGAAACATGACCTGTTCTATACACCTTCCTAGATCTAGCACTGAGTGACAGGAGGCTTTGCTCAAATAAGTACACAGGTTTCATCACTGGGTAGCAAAACTTCAACTAAGCAAAACAAATTAATAAAACGAAAAACAAAAACCCTCCAAAAGGTCAGGTACATTTTCACTGTATGTTCCTTCCTTCAGTACATGTTACACATATTCATTTCTTCCAAAGAAGGATTTTTAAAAACATGAGGAAAAGGAAGCATACAGCAGAAAATCAATGCTTTAAAATGTTTCACAATGAAAACATGCAGCACACATGTTGGGTGCTGGATTTCAAGTGTGTATTGCACAGGCTTCACCGTCCCCCTGGCTTTTCAAAAATTAATGGTCAATCAAGGCTTTAAAGTACTGGGGAATGACAACAGCTTTCACCTGCAACTAAAATAAATTTCAACTACTCCAAATTTTAACATTTGCTCTGAGAAGTCCAAGTTGCTTGCACTACATTGATATTTGCTGCTGTCCCACTTGATCCTAACTCACCAGACTGTTACTGAGCTGCCAGGCCAGCTCTTCATCTTGCTTCAGCTGCTTCTCCATCTCCTTCCGTCTCTCTTCTGCCAGCCTCTGCTCCTCCTCCTCCTCTGCCAGCAGCCGCTGGATGTACTCCTCACTCGCCTTGTTCTCCTCCTGCTCGTGCGCTCGCCTTTCTGCCTCCACCTAAACCAGATGTTGGAAAAAATCCACCTGGTTACTGCTGCAGGGCCACACTTTACACCAGAACCTCTCAGCTGACACTGCTTAAACATGAACCATTCACTGTTCACAAAACACAGCAGCATTTCATTGCACGAGTCTCAAAGATGTAAGAATCATACCGATGCTGTGTGTAGAGCCTTGGGTTTGACCACAGTGACAAACCTTTGGGTTTCTCTAAGATTATACCATTAACCTGCAAGGTTCAACTCCATTCTTCACCTTCTCAAAGCGTTAGTAACAAAACTAAGATCTCCAAATACATGGATCTACAGAGAAAGTGAGATTAGAATTCTGTCTAAGGCTGAATGCCAGCTATCCCACAGCATTTGCTCAACCTGCTTTTATCATTATATATCCCAAAGACAGAACGTCTCTCTTCTAGAAGAGTGCTGCTCTCCTGAAACACACAAACCCCAAGCCAGCAGTCAGGAATTTTACACCTGCCTTTCTTACAGCAGACATGTTGAGAGATCAGTTACCAGCAACTCCATGAGGAGTGCAAAGTACTTCAAGAATAAAGCTTTCTTTGGAAATTCCCCCCAGTCCTCTGCTTCATTTGCTCCAGTAATCACCAGCAAGGGGCTCTCAGAGAAAGGTGCATTCCCATACATTCCAACTCTAAATCTTAATATTACTGTGTCTGAATTGGAAGAAGGATCCTTAAGTAAGCCAAAACTGAGAATTCTTTAGAATTTTTACTGATTTTCAAATGAGCACAGGTAACAGAGTGAGTGAAGAAGACTGCTGTATGTTCATTACTGAAGGTTATCTAATTGAGGTCTCTTACTTGGAGGGAAATCAAGAAGACAAATATAAAACCAAAGCCCAAACAGTTCCAAATTTCTACATTTGCTACTTTTATGTACATTGACTGAGAGATGAGGTAGGAGGTATAGATCAAGAATGTCACCTCATGTCAAATACAAAGAAATCTCTTTCACCAATTTAATTCATGATCCAGAAGTGACCACTATGCATGTTCTTGCAGATGCAGCGCCCATTAACATATCCTTGTTATTAAATAAAATTACAGCTGTTTGTAGGAACAAACAGCTGTATGGTCCTACAACATATGAATATGAAACATTTATGCTTTTTAAATGTATTTTTAGACTTACCTTACTTATCTCTGCTTCATATTCCTGCCTCAGCTCCCCAGGCTTGCTCAGCTGGTGCTGCGGCTTGGGGACACAGACTAATCAAGAGGAAGGAGAAGAAAAACCAAAGTCAACAAATTCATGACAGTTATCAACAAAGGATTTCAACAACAACAACAAAGGATTTTAGCTCCATACCCTGTCATGGAAATGATTTGACATAAATCAAGTGCTGTGATTGAAAAAAGGAAGGAGTAAAGCAAAAATTATCAAGCAATAAAGTTTACACTATAGAAAAGTGTGGTGTTACAGAGTGGCAGGAACAGGCAGTGTTTCCCAAGCACTGTAAATACAATGGAACAAGTTTCCCAGAGAAACTGTGGCTGTCCTATCCCTGGAAGTGTCCAAGGCCAGGCTGGATGGACTTTCCTGGTCTAGTGGAAGGTGTCCTGCCCATGGCAGGGAGGTGGAATGGGATGATCTTTAAGGTTTCACCCATCCCAAACCATTCCCTCATTCATTCTCTGTTGGTACACTGACCATAATTTATGTCTTTCACTCTTTTTTCATTAAAAAGACCTCAGAGCACTGCAAGTGAACAAGTTGCCCTATGGCCAACCTATCAAAATGTCCCCCAAGTGCACTTGTAACATCATAAACCCCAAAATCATTCTTCAAAAAGTCAATCAGATTTCACTTCCTTCTCTCTGACACCACAATTTTCAGCTCGGATTCTTGCATTGACCGAACCCCTGGAATTTCAACCAAACTAATTACCACCTAAAAATCTTCCAACCACTTCACTTACTTGACAGTGATAAAGAAACACACCCACAGACTCAAACACTCTGCCTGTAGATGCTACAGCTGCAAATGAGCAGTGAACAAGGTCAGGCAGCCACACACCAATACCCCGCACCAAACGCATGATCAAATACCTGAAATCACCAGACAATGTAATTTTCATCCTCTGTGCTACAAATGAAGAAGGCATTGCTCACCTCTCCCCTGCCCCTTTTGCAGGAGAGCTCTGTCTCTGCCAGCAGTAACACACCTGCCTACCCACAGCTCTGTATTTCCCAACATCTGAAGTCCACCCACAGGAATTCCTGTGGCAAAGCAGAGACATCCCAGGACAAGAGACATTTCACTTACTTTCCTCATCCAAATCCTGTCCGTTCATCCTGCGCTCGCACTCCTCCGGGTAATTCTTCTGAATCTTCTCCCAGAGCTCCCAGTTGATAAGAGTATTTCTGCGGGTATTGTACCGTGCCCAGGAAGAGACTCGACGCCTACAAAAGGGGCAAGAAAGGCTGGCCTTTTCCACTGTCATCTGGAAGCAGGAATTGCAGAGGGTATGGCTGCACGGCAGCGTGACAGGCTCCACAAAGATCTCCATGCAAATCTGGCAGAGGCAGTCGGACAAGGAAAGCGGGGCCGTGGATTTCTTCGACATACTGACGTGAGGTAGAGGAACAGCACTAGGACAACATCAGGGCCTGAAAGCCAAAAGAAACATTTAGGTTCCTTATGGGAAGTAAAATAAAGGAAAATACAAAATGTCTTACAGCTACTTTGTCACTATAGGACACGAGAAAGCACTACGTGAGCTGTTGTTATTGTAAAGGTAAAAAAGAGAAAGTTTATTTTCTGACTCTAGCATTTATAGTTTTCCAAAGTTGACAGTGGATTGGAGGGTGAAATTGTTACCTCTCCAACGACACTGGATAAACTACTAGTCTATTAAAATTCTCTGCGTCTATAAAAGAACATAAAACAGTAAGTTATTTACAGAAAGTAGGTGAAAAAGTTTGTTACAAGAATGTAAACTCAGAAGGCTTTAGAAAATCTTAAAAAGTTAAAACAACACTACTGTGGATTTAGAAATAGTTGCTGTTTAAGTGATTGCTTTTCTCAGGGCCTGAGAGATTCCTGAGGAAGAAGCAGAGCTTTACAGAAGTCATGGAAAAACTGTACCAGGTTTTCCTACTGCAGGTTCCTATGAGCTGTAACAGATGCTTTGGAGATAGCAAGGAGGTGGTAAGGAGAGGAGGGAAAAGAAGGTGAGAGCTTTTCCAGCCACCCATCACTCCCTATCTATGATAAGATGCTGGATATGTTATTCCAGTTACCTTAACCTTCCATTCACTCATTTTTTCAGAATGTGAACATCCTTTGACAGGTGCTTTTGGCACAAGCTTGCTTCCAGCATGTTCTGAAGGTGAAATACACCAGAGCAGAGCAGCTTCTTTCTCATTCATTTGCTTGCTTAAGCTAGGACTATAAAGCTAAAATTCCTCTTTTTCATAAGATAAGTAAAGAATTAAAACTTCAGCACCTTTTTGTATGACTTGAAACTGTGGGGGTCATCTGTCTCCTCACACGATTTTTCCACTTGGCCCAGCAATACTGTGGGAGAGAAAACAAGACATATACAGCAAAAGAAGAAACCCACTGATATTTAAGTTACAAGCTTCTTAAACAGGCAGCTTCAGAAACAGGAGGCCCTTGAAAGAAAGGCTGCCATTCCTCACAGAGAACTCTCCATGGAGACAAATACACGTTAAGGCAGGTTTTATTATTTCCGCTATTTTTATTGACAAAAAATAACCCCCAGGACGCCGGCGCCCAGCGAAAAGGGGGCCCCTCGTCCCGCTCCGCTCCCGTCACCCCCGGCCCTGAGGGTCCCAGCGCGGACCCGGCACCCACCGCTCCCGAGGCCGCCCAGGCCGCGCTCCGCAATGGCGGCTCCGCCCCGCCCCTCACGCAGGGGCAGTTCCCGCCGCCCGCCCGAGAGCTCCGCCTGCTCCTCCTCCTTCTCCTCCTTCTCCTGTTCTCCTTCCTTCTTCTCCTCCTCTCCGTCCGTCTCCTCCTTCTCCTCTTCCACCTGCTCCGCCGAGCCTGCTGGGAGACAGAAGCCGCGGCCCTCAGGGGGAAGGCGGGCCAGGCTGTGGTGACGGGCCGGGCGGGAGTGGCTCCCACAGCCAGGGAGCTGCGTTGGGTGGGAGTGAGGAGTAAATCCTTCCCTGTGAGGGTGCTGAGGAGCCGGGGCAGCCGCGGCAGTGCTCGAGGCCGGCCGGGCGGGTTCGGTCGCTGGGCTTTGCTCCCCGGCTTTGCTCCCTGCTGTGCTCCCTGGCTGAGCTCACCTGGCCGCAGGTGCCCACGGCACGTCCCGCCGCAGGTCCTCCTCCATCATCTCCGCCTGCAGCTCGAAGGCGTGCGCCAGGGTCTGCAGGCTGCAGTCCAGCTGCGCGAAGCGAGCCTCCAGGGACAGCAGCCTGCTTTCTACTCTGGGCGGTGGAAAACAAGAGTAAGGGAATTTCAGAAGGATCTTGGGCTTTCTGTCACGACATTGCATTGTGAACAGCTTCAGACCCCCTTCTAGGGGCCCTCCCAAGATTTCTGGGAACACCACTAAAAGTCAAGGTTTGTTGTCACATCTTTTTGGCCATTTCCTGGTGCAGAGATCTTAACATCTCCAAATACAGCTGCAAAATTAGTAGGTAGATATATCTGTGGCTCTCAACCATATGCATTATCAGTGGCATAGTTTTTTTTCTTAACACATTTTAAGGTGATTTATGCTTTTATTTGTCATGTCATGGTCTTTTGAACAATTTTCATTTAACATTGAGGAGAACTTCTCATTACTCGTCTGGTTAAAAATTATACAAACAATAAACAAGCCACCCGCAGTGGTTTTTTAATAGGACTGTCCTTCCATGGAACAGCTGTGATAAAAACTACTTCATAGCTTGTATTTATTAACTGCTTTTTCATTATTGGATGTCTGTTGTGTTTCTTCCTATTTAAAATTGTAAATTAGAGAGATGAGGTTTTGAGTTTTAAGCCACTCCACTTTTGCTGAAGAAAACTGCCTGGTTTAAAAGAACTTGCTATGTTGAGACAAGGTAATGCCAGTATTTACTTTTGTACCCATTTCTCTCTTTCCTGGAGATAAAGGGTGTTCTGGGCTCCAGTCACTGTGGGTGGTTTTTATACAGAGTTTTGTCCACATTTTCCTCAGTTACCTGATTGACATTGAGGTGTGTTTTTGAGAATCCTGAGGATCTGAAAGCTAATGTAAAGAATTCAAAGTTCCTTCTTAAATACTGAACAACTACCTCAGTACCATGTAGACAATAGTAATTTACTGGCAGAGCATCACCTACTCCTTATAGAATTTTTTGTGATTTTTCTTTTTATTTTACTGGAAAAACTTCAGGCTGTATCACCTAACAATAACTACACTATCAGCAAATATTATTACCTACATATTTTTCTTTATCTTATCTTTTTTTCATTCCTAGTTTGCTCCACTGCTTCTGTGACCTCCCTGTGTTAAACATTCTATTACATGTATTTGAATGAAGTTTTTGTAAGGACAAAACACACAGCAGCTGGTGATGACATTAAAAAATAAAAAGGAAAACAAAACCCTTCAAACATTTTTCCATTCTTTGATATGTATCCCACGGCATTTTAATGACTGTTATTATAAGAGACCCAAAATGCCATTTTTTCCTATCAGCAGCTCCTCCCTCTCCCTGCCTGCCTCTACTCCTGCCTCCCCCTTCTCCAAACTAAACCCTATTTTTGATTCTTTCTGCAGCTGACCTGAATGAAGAGAAAATAAAAATACCTCAACAGTGGCATGTTTTACTAAGTATCGCCGACCTTAATTCATTGTCTGGCCGCTTGTGCAGATCCTTGTCTAAGGATTTTCTGTTGTTTCCTGAGGCTAGAGGCTTCCTCTGCAGCCTGGTGGGGCTCATCTTACTGTGGCAGGACTCCTCTGGCTTCAGCAAGAATTTTGGGATGAAAATAAAACTTTTATTGGAAACTAAGCTGGTGTCATATAGAAATGCAGGGAGTTCAGAAAAACCGGAAGGATTGATGTGTCATAATTGGATCGAATCTGTCAGCACTGAGAGAGGAAGTGCAGAAACTGAGGTGAGGTGAGTTGGGGTTTGCTGTGAATGACTTTCAGAGCTGGGTTGTCGGATAATGAGTGTTCTCGCCGGTGAATTGTTGGTTTGCAGCTTTTTGTCATGGTAAATAAGCTTCCACACGGCCCATTCTCCAACTTCCTCCTCTACAAGTAAGAGTAAAGTTATCTAAGATCTCATCACTAATGCTAATCTCAGTGCAGCAGGAGTTTCTCAGCAGGCTTCAGTCCAATGCTTTACTATTTGACCAGTTTTATCTCTCAAGCATTTTTTTACTGCCTTTCTGTAAATTAATCTTCTGTGTTTTTAAGCACCTGCAATAAACATTTAAACATTTGCCAATTTTGGATCTAAAAATGTCTGTTCAGTTATACCATGGTAGATCCGTAACTGATCTCCCACAGCTGTAACTGAATTCTGATAGACTGAGTGCTGCTGCCTCTTGATCTAAGTTTGGAATGAAAAGAGGAAGAATGGATTAAACCTCCCATTTTCATTTCCATCATGACCTCTGTGTAGTGTAAGTGAAGTTACCACTAAGTCAGCGACCTCTAACTCTGACTAGTGTACAGACAAACCACATCCCTATTCTTTACCAGAAAGCTTTTAAAATTCCTCTCTTGTTGGCACACAGAACATATTTGGAAGCCATACAGTAGAAGCTCCAAGATTCCCACTTCTCTGGAAGTGTGGTTCTTTGTGAAACCTTATTTCTGCTATTCAGGCATTTACAGAAAATGACATTTTAGAGCTGTCATGTGGGATTGATTTTCCAGGCCAGTGCAGCATCCCACACTTCTCCAAGCCCTCCCCATTCACTCACTCCATGGTACATTAGACACACACTTCTTCAAGTAGATTCCCACAGAATTAATTTTCACTTTTTTCTTTCAGGAGTTGTTTCACTGTTTCTCCCTCTGGTCAGGTCTCCAATAGCTACTTTTGTGTTCACCATCGTGTGAATCAGAGTTAAGAAGGCTGTGGATGAACTAACAGTTATGAGCAGTACCTCGACAAGAGCAGTTTCTTTCCAAGTCTGTCAGCTGTCTGTCAACACATAATCACTCATTTCCTAAGCAGAAGTACTGCATCCCATCAGCTGTGATACTCTCGACAGGGATCCTTTTCACTGCAGGTAAACCACAGGTGTATGTATGACACCTGATTTGACTTTTAAAAGTCTCAACACTGCATAGTTTGCCTTTAAATGTAAAATATCCTAGAATCCCAGAATGGCTGAGTGGAAGGACCTTAAAGCCCAACTCATTCCACCCACTGCCATGGGTAGGGATACCTTCCACTATCCCAGGTTGCTCCAAACCCCATCCAGCCTGGCCTTGGGCACTTCCAGGGATCCAGGGAAGCTACAGCTTCTCTGGGCACCTGTGCCAGGGCCTTACCTCCCTCCCAGGAACGTGAAAATCCAGAGTGTGGGGACAGTATCCTTCCTAACTCTTAACTGCTGAGAATTTCAGACCCTTTTTTGACTGTATTTCCTGAAGATCCATGCTTGTATCTTTGTATCTGCCCCAAGCCACCACCACTGGTGCCTGCTGCTGCACAGCCGAGCAGGAACCAGTGCCAGCGGGGGCAGCTGAGGCTGGATTATTTTTCAGGAAGTCCATGAACCTGTTGGTCACATTCCTCTGCCAAGTGCAGGCTTTGGAAATGGAGGGTGAATCAGCATCACCTATGACCTGATTCCCCAGTGATGGTGATTTGCTTTCCTAAAACTTTTAAGAAAGTTCCATTCTTGGGGTTCTTTTTTGCTCATGATAACCACTTACTCCCTATCTTTGAACTCTCCAGACTCTGAGGCATGATCTTAAAATCAGAAGTTCACCTGAAATCTCTAATTAGAACAGCAAGCCTGAATTTAACAGAACCACAGAATATGCTGAGTTGGATTCACAAGGATCCAACTCCTGGCCCTGCACTCCTGTCCTCCCCAGCAATCCCACCCTGTGCCTGAGAGCATTGTCTGAATGCTTCTTGAGCTCTGGGAGCTTTGGTGCTGTGACATTCCCTGAGAAGCCTCTTCAGTGCCTGACCACGCTCTGGGAGAAGAACGCTTTCCTAATATCCAACCAAAACCTCCCCTTATACAACTTAAGGCCATTCCTTCAGGTCCTGTCACTGGGCACCACAGAGATCAGTGTCTGTCCCTTCTCCCCCCTCATGAAGAAGTTGTAAACCTCAACGAGGTCTCCCCTCAGTCTCCTCCATGCTGAATAGACCAAGTGCCCTCATTGCCTGGTGACAATTCATGCAGCTGCAGGCCACAGATGATGGAGCAACTGCCCAAATCCTGCAGCAAACTGCCAGGATGCAGGCAGGGAATAAACACCACCGTGGAGCTGATGGCTCTGTCCCTCTTTCCTCCCGCTATCCATTCACAGCAGTTGCCCACAGCAGTTTCCAGAGAAGCACGTTAGCCTGGTGTCCCATGTTAGCTGTCCCATGTCCCAGCCCTCTGTGCCCTCCCTGTCCCTCCCCAGCCCTGCAGGACCTGTTCAGCGTCTCGTTCAGGGAACGCAGAGAGATGCTGGCTTTCGCCATCTTCCTGGAGAACACCAAGAGAAGAAATAAAAGCTGGAGCGGGCTCGCTCCTCTCTCCTGTAGCCGGCAGAAACAGCAGGGACAGGGGATCCGAGTCCTGCAGGAGGTTGTTTGTTCCGAGGCTTTTTATAGCCTGTATATCCAAATATAGGTCATGGATGCACCAACACACGTTCACGGACATGTCACACACTGAACCACACAGCCCAACCCGACCCCTTCCTCTGCCCCACCGATCCCGTGTCTTCACACATGAACTCATGCACAGGTAACACAAAAGGGAACAAGTACAATTTTCTGCTTTTTCTTTTATTGCTGTGTTTTGGCTTCGATTTGCAGTTGCGCCCACCAGATCATGTCTTGGGCCAAAGTCTCCTGCTGGGAAAGGCTGTACAAGCAGATTGCCTTCGGGGTTTTTTTTGTTTTTTTTTTTAATTAAAAAGGTACAAAGATAAAATCTGATTTGGATGAGAATGAGTTGTGTTTGGTTGCAGGGAGCTGCTTTGAGCAAAACCAAGACAGTTGGAATCTCTTCCATAAAGGTGGAGAGAGGCAGCACAACCGGATAATGATTTTCCAGAGCTTTGTATGTAAAAAAAATAGAGCTGGAAATTTTTCCAATATAATATGAGTCTGGTAACAGCCCAGTTGGTAAACACAGCAGCACAAACCCAAACCTACCACCAGTGCAGCATGTCCTCAGTCAGTACTAGGAATTCAGTTCTGTGAC